CAGAGGGTGGAGGAATTAATCGCGGACTCCTGGTTTACCTGCAATGCGCCCGGATGCGGGCCGTGTGCGCCCCTCACTTCGGCCGCCTGGCATTCCCCTTCGCCCCCTTCGCCTTCCCGAACCTCCCGCTGCTGTTGTAGCCGCCGGAGCGGAACCTGCGCCGCACAACGCCGCCCTTCTTCGAGATGACGTTCCTGTAGGCGAGCTTCCGCGGCTGCGACCGCTCCGCGCGGAGCCTCATTGCCCGCGCCTGGTTGTACAATTTGCTTTTCCGCTTCTTCGGCGCGAAGACGCGCCCCTGCGACTTCGCGGAGCGCCGGAGTTGGTTGTTGCTGCGGCCCATCGCACCCGCGAGGCGCAGAGCGGCCGGCTGCTTCCCTGGCGCCCGGGCGCGGAGGAGAAGGGGAAAGAAGGGGGCGCGCAGGTGGCGGAGGCGAGGCACAAAATGTGCGGAAGCAACAAACACAACAAAACAGTGAAACAAAAAAAAACGGACACGCTCGCAGACGCGTGCGGAAAGACGCACGCGCACTCGTGCGCGAGCCGAGCCACCACCTCCGTCGTCGTCCCGAGGACGCACAGCCGCGGCGGCTGGGGGACAACGAGGGACGCGCGCCACGCGCCTCCACAGCGGCGCAGGACCCGCCGAGGGGAACAATGAACAGGAAAAAGAAAAAGGGAGGAAAAAACAACAGGCCTGCACCCCCCAGTCAATTCCACTCCTCCTCTCGAAGTTCGTCGAGGGGAAATCCACGCAAGGGCGCAATACGCCGTGGCTTCACAGGGCCGCAAAACTGCTCGCCGCCGCCGCCACCGCCGCCACGGTGAGCGTCCATGACGGCAAGTTCCACCGCACCCCGCGCCCCCGCACCGCCACCCGCGGCGGCCCCGCCCCGTTCCGCCCCCGGGACAAGACACTTTTCGTCCGCCTCCTCCTCCTCCTCACTGTCGCCATTTTGGCCGCCGCGAAGTTGCCGGCGGCCCCGTTGGTCGCGGCGCCTCCTCGACGCGTCGTCGTCAAAATGGCTCTCCTCGATGCTCAGCAGCCACAACAAGTACTGCCCACACGCCTGCATGCAGAGGAAGACGCTCAACAGGAACGGGTACACCCGGTACATTGCCTGCCGCAGGGGCGCAGTCGGCACCCACTCCAGGTCGGCATCGTAGTAGCGCGGGCTGGACCTCGCCCCCCTCTCGCCGCGAGAGAAAATGCTTGTGGTGGCGGAGGCGCCACGCACGCCGTGCGGCGGGGAACCTGCACCCAACGGCATTTGCCCGCTCCCCTCGCCTCCTTTTTGGCTTCGGCTCCCCCAACCTCAGTTCTCGCAGTCGCGGTTTCCTTCGCTCCTCCTCTTCTCTCTCCCCACCCACCCGGAGTGCAGGGGCAGGGCCGCAGGAGGAGGGGAGGCGAGGAAGAAAGAGTGCGGGGAGAAGAGGCTTGCAGGGCGGCGGCGGACGTGGCGCGACGGTGGGGGGTAACACGCAGTCAGACATGCAGGGATGCAACGCCAGGGACGCACACCAGGGGCGACGCGCCATGCAAAAAAAAAAAATACAGTGCGCTTAAACAGAGCTCCAAGTTAAACCGGCAGAGAGAAAAAAAAGAGGGGCCGCCAACGGAGAGACGCCGGCCGCAGTAACGGCGACAGCGACAACAGAAGCGGCGGCGCGTCCGTCCATCACCCCCCCCCCCACACACACACACGCACTCCCCTCCCTCCACGCGCCTTCACAGCAGCCGCCCGGGGCCGCAGGGCTGGCGTTAGTCCGACTGCCGCTCCCTCCTCCATGCATGTGTGGGGCAGGAAAGGCAAGGGCGACGCCGCGGCCTCCACCGCGCTGCCTTGGACAGCACACACGCCTCTTCTACCCACCACCACCACCACCACCACCACCACCACCACCACC